CGCCTCTTCCAAGAAATGTGGCCATTGTGGAAGAGTAGGCCAAAGAGCCTCTTGTAGGGGCTTTCTTGAAGCTCCTTCTAGTGCAGGCCTGTTCTGCCGGCAGTGGTGCGAGGCAGCAATTGCAGGGCTGCGACCTTTTTACATTTTGTGCTCGCGGAAGCGTTGCCAGCGGCGTTGGCCCAATCCTCAAGAGGAAATCGCACAACGCCAATGAACAATTATCAGCAACCTCGCCCACGTAACGCTCAGCAGGGGACCGGTTGTGGATGCTTGATTGGCCACGTGATGGAGATGCGAACCCACTCGAGACTCTCCCATTACGGCGCTCGCACGCTTTTAACTCGGCTTGTAACGATCCTGCCGCCTACAAATGGATTCACACGCTCACGACACGCGCGTCAAATCGTCCTCGCAGCGGCTCCGGCTTTTGGCTCGCCATCGAAAAACAGACGGTCACCGCATCGCGCGGCGCTTTCAGATGCGCTTCTGCGGCCGTCTGGAGCGCTCTTCCTCTTCCGATGTTAGGAATCCACTGGAGCTGTGCACTTTTAAATCGAGATTGAAAACTAATTTGTTTAGAACTGCTTTTTTGTGTTGAGTTTGTTGTCCTTCGCCCCGACACCTCCGATTAGCGCGTACGGTGCGAAATAAGTTCAACGTACACACATACGTACAAATCGCGCGGTTCAAGTGTTGATGGTAAAGGTAAACGGTAAAGGTGCAGCCCTGCAATATCTTGCTCACTCCACTGCTGGTGGGAGGGCCTCCCCTATAGGGAGCTCTAGAGAACTTCTCTCCAAAGGGTATTTGGCCTACGCCTCCACGCTCGTCAGATGTCTTGGAAGAGGTTGGCAGAGCTCACACTTTACCCCACCCAACGCGACCTGCCGATTGGTTTACCTCGCTATAGCGCTGAGTGGAGAGAGGCGGGAGGAAGGTTAAGAATGGGGCGCTGCTGTGTCGAGATGTTAACTCTCTCACCTTGTATGCAGGAAGTCGTGGGTATGATCTCATCCCTGATGCCTGTTGTACATTTGGAGTTTGCATGTTCTCTCCGTGGTCAGGGTTTTTTTTCTCCGGGTTCTCCAGTTTTTTCCTCCGCATTTAGAAACATGTGTTTATTGTAATTTAGCTGCTATAAATCTATACCTGATAAGCCACTTCGTTAAGCTATCATTTGTGACCAGGTCGCTTTGGAAAGAGAGCTATAATAGCTCGGTGAGCCCTACCTGGTAAAATAAAGTACTGTTTTAGTGTATAGAAATTTGCACCGTTTAACTGCTGCACTGGCGTAATGAATCGACAGCCACTATATTACAAGTCCATTGGGCCATTACTGAACATGTACCAAAGTACAGGGTGTTTGAAAAATATGGACCCAATTTCCAAGCAGTATATTTCACGACGGCAACATGTTACAATTACACAAAAAGTTACAAACCGTTCAATGAGTTATTACGTTTTCCTAACCATTTTATAAATGCTCTGTGTGCCCTCCACCTGCTGTACGGACAACGTCGAGACGATACTCTTTGGTTCTTTCGGTAAAGTCACGTAGGTATAAAATAAATTAAATCACGACGTTTCGGGCGCAACACAAGCGTCCGTCATCAGGTGGGAAAGCATGGTCTGCTGCTGAGGCAGACAACCTTTTAAAACAGTCTGCCTCAGCAGCAGACCATGCTTTCCCACCTGATGATGGACGCTTGTGTTGCGCCCAAAATGTCGTGATTTATTTTATTCTATGCATACGTGACTTTACCGAAAGAACCAAAGAGTATGGATTCCTGCAATCACGAAAGCTTCAAATCGAGACGATAGTTGAATTCGTCCCAAATGCCTCTCAAAGTGTCTTCTTCCACTGAAGTCACCGCTGCCGTGATTCATCCAGATTAGTCGCTAATGGTGGCACAAAAACACGGTCTTTTGTGCCACCATGCTCTTTGACATTGGCGGATTAATGCTAAAACGCCGTTGAAACGCACGCTGCAATGCAATAACAGATTCAGTCTTGCTGAACTGCAGAACGCAAAACGCCTTGTGTTGCAGGGTCACCATCTTGCGAATGACTGAGGATAGGGGCTGTTTGTGCGCTGGGAGAGGCATCTCGCGGTAATCATTTGAAACTCTATGTCCCGCCCTTTCAAGTGGCAAGAGTTTCATTCATGGGCGGTTCGTGATTGCAGAGATACAGCGATTTCAAATCGGGTCCATCTTTTTCAAACACTCTGTATATGCAGACGTTAACATTTCAGCTCGTGGAGCAAAGGAGATTGTGCAACCAAGAAAGATCATGGCACAATGAGGCAGTAATAGGAAAGAACCAAAAGAATCGATCCTTGAATTGGATCGTGATCCCGAACCTGGAAAGTTCACTGAATATCACAGGCGTTGGCGGGAGGAGGGGGTGGGTGGTTCTGGTTAACGCGCAGTTTTTACACCAATTATAATGTCGATAATTGCTTTAGGCTACTCCTGCAGTAGCGACGGTCACAACAACGCCATGGTTAGTGCTCACGGTGAGTTGCAGTGATTTTTTTGTCATCCGTTGTTTTTTTTTTATAAACCGATTATATTGCGGCGTCGAGGAAACGGAACAGAAAGCGCCTGAGGGGTCATCCACCGAGGAGATGGAGCGATGAAATCAGCTTGTGGCGTGCAGGCGCCTGGGTGGATCGTTATATCGCAGGATTTTGAGAGGTGGAGGGCACCTTGGCTTGGCCTGAATCCAGCAGCGGATTGTTCAATGGCTAATGGCGATAATAATGGCGATGGGGAATTGAGCGAAATGAACGTCTGGGAAAAAAAAAAGAGCTTCATAGCAAATCGGATTTCTCCAGAATAACAAAAACAATTCTGGCCGATTCTGAATTTGAAAACCAGTACTCTGGCTTCTGTGGCTCTCTGTTTATCACGACGAATAACAATGAGCTAATTAGCTGCCCTGCCAGGGACAGAGTTGTCCTCAAAACAGAGCCGAGTGTGTCGCAGCTACCCGCAGCTCCCATCACTTCATAAAACAGTAATTAGCCTGTATAGGCCTTAAACCCTTGATTACATATGCCACTGATTATCCTCAATCAATCAGCCAAGTCCTTTGTTCAAGCTCGAGAAGCGAACGCATTGAGACACAAACATCATGCTACGAAAGGTGATCATTTATTTTCGTGGTTTTTGTTGTTCCTGTTAAGTTCATCGCAATCGAATTTGGTTTGCTCAGCCCTTTCACGAAGCCAAATGTTGCCGGTATAAACCGGAGCAGCTCCTCAAGGCGAGAATCCCAGGACGTACACGCGTCTTGGGAGTGTGCGGGCATTGTCACTTGACAACGATCACGCACACGTCACGGGGTGATGCACATCAAGATTGTTTATCCAGGAGAGCTATGCCGAGCCTCAGGATTCTACTGCAGGTGTGTCCTGCGTTGGGACGTTTAAGCGATAATTTTTTTAAGGAGCGTTTTTTTTTCTTCTGTGGGAGGAAAGCAGAGTATGTAGAGCGAATACACACAATGGATTTTAATTTGTGGTGCTTTAAAGGAAAAATAGAAAATAGGCAACGTTTCGGGCAATGGCCCTTCTTCATAACACACGTGATGGGTATTTTTTGTTCACACGTACGAGGGGATAATAGTCAACGTAGTCGAATACCACTGCAGCTGAGGAGATTCATAAAGCAGATCAATATTAACGTGAGCCAGGGAACCCGTTTTGTTCAGGTGTCCAAGTCAGTTGTCAACTCGTCCTCCACACATAGGCCACTGAGTGTTATTCCCTACTTACCAGCCGTGGCATCACCTCGGCGCCTTCTCCCCCCCCGCACCCACATCCCCAACCTCTCTGCACCCCTCCGCCCACACCGACAGACACCGACAGAGACAATGCCCATTTGGTGACCAGTGCCGCACAGGGGACAGCTGCCACTGGGTGGGGGGTCCCATTGGCTAAAACCACGACAGGGCATTGGATGTGGTTTTTTTCTTGTCATTGGGTGCAATTGTGAACAATAGCCAAATCAGACACGAGCACATCGAATCGGCATAATCATTGGTTCACTGCAGCTCAAAGACTCAGTCCCTACAAGGCGTGTGGTGAAGTCAGGAGATGTCCCCAGTGTGCGTGTGCTCGGCATTTGAAGGCCTGAAGACCAGAGTCGGTGATTTTGCCGACAATGTGTCCAGGGAGGCAGTGGCATATCCCGACAGCAGAAGTGTCCAAATCTGTCCAGGGATCATGTTGGGGGAAATGTCCCCTCCCTCCCTCCCCCCATGTTGAGATGAGATGTCGCTGTAAGACGCTTATAGAGTTGCGTACGTAGTTAGGCGAGTGCTCTGTAAGCGCAAATCCTTCTCCGGAATCCCTTGCCCCACCCGAAGCCATCGCAGAGGCAGTGGGCTGCCCCCCCTCCCTACCCCTGCGCCGAGTGTTCACCGAGTCAGCATGTTCGTCTTGTTCGTCTCTAGTCTTGGCGGCGACCGCGCGTGGAATTTTGGTAAAAGCCTTGGTCTGTGGATTTCCTTCAGTCGTTAAAGTCAACATGATTAAGACTGCGCGGGATTTTGTCAAATAGCCCAATGCTGGGTGCTTACATTAACACTGCATAACAGTGTTAATTAACATTGCACACAGTGTTAATTCGGTGAGCATTTAAAGGCTAGTCTTATCTCTTAAATGCAGTGCTAATTTAGTCAGCATTTTCTATTTTAATGATCAAGCGAAATCTGCGCACTAACGTTTGACAAAAAAATCCACCGGTTTTTATGTTTTACCAACGATACTAAAGCCCATATAATTGCTGACTAAATCAACCCTGCCTACAGTCGCTCCACTACACCGCTTGAGGAAAACCAGCAGCACCCCCCTCCACCACGGCCCCCCTTCCACCTCCCCCCCCACCACCCACCCCCAAACAGCCCCCCCCACTACCCCCATCGACCTCCTCCCACCGCCCCCCCCCCCCCACCTTTCCACCGCCGCCGCTCCACAAGCACACTCGTGTACCTTCTCGGCGGACTGCGCGGTGCCGAAGAAGATGGGGATGAAGGCGAGCCACACGATGCAGGTGGTGTACATGGTGAAGCCGATGGGCTTGGCCTCGTTGAAGTTCTCGGGCACGCCGCGCGTCTTGATGGCGTACACGGTGCACGTGACCATGAGCAGGATGCTGTAGCCCAGCGAGCAGATGAGCGCCAGGTCCGAGATGTCGCACTTGAGCATGCCGCGGGCCAGCTCGGCCTCCTGCGAGCGCTGCTCCTCGTAGTCGATGACCGTGTGTGGCGGCGTGAGCCCGAACCAGATGCACACTCCCAGGAGCTGGGGACAAAATGCGGGGTGGACGGACAGGTGGCGGCGAGATGTTAACTGCCTCGCCCGGTATACAGGAGGGCGTGGGTTCGACACTGACGCCTGCTGTTTATTTGGAGCTTGCTTGTCTCTCTTTCCCGTGGTCGTGTGGATTTTTCTCCGGGGTTCTCCGGTTTTCCCCTCCACAATTAGAATCAACGTCACGCGATCAGAGCATTTGGCTGCTTTAAATTTCCACATTATAAGCCACTTCGTCGAGCTATCATTTGTGGCCAGGTCACTTCTGAAAAAGAGCTGTATAGCTCAGTGGGCCTTATCTTCTAAAATAAAAAAAATTAGTTGAATTTAATAAATTTAGAAATCTGCGGTTTGACGAGCGTGGCGATTGTGATTTAGCACTTGTTTTGTGCTCAAGTGAAAGTGATTTCCTGTACAGTTGAGTATTGAGGAGGGATTGGTGCCCATCTCCTGTGGAAAACAGCCCTGCGGAGGCAGTGGTGGTAATTCCACATTCCTATGGGTGGGTGTGAGCCGCTCCACTGGACAACCAATGTTGACTTCAGCACAGGCTGGGGCTAGTTTTATCAACCCCCGGAAGGAAGTGATGATGGGACTAGTCATTCATACCCCTACCAGGATTTGAACTCACAACCTTCCAATTTTAGTCTGCACACATATACAGTGTTTATCCGGGGGACTTATCAAAGGTGGATCCCAGTTTTCAGAAGCTGGGTTGACCATTGATTGTGCTTGGATGAGTGACCAAGAGGTTGTTATAGGGCTGTGGAGATATGTTGCGGGCAGCATGGGGCAGTGGAATAAACATCCATTGTTCCGATGTACTTCTATGCTCTCATGTTCTACGCTCCATGTGGTGAAGTTTAGTCAAATAACCCCCACGGGGTTATAGCGAGGGGTGACCTTCATCCAGTGGTGGGTTGACAAAACGGCTGTACACATCCTTATACTGAAGAGCACGCATGACCACATGCCCTGCCACATACAGAAATGTTCATTGCATGGCAATCAAATCAAAATTGTTAATACCAAAAGCTTGAATTTAGCCAAATCAAGTGCGAAAATCACACAATGGCTAAATTGTTTTTGCAATCATCAATGACTAGGCTAAAACCTCGTTATACGTTTGAGAACGCGATTTAATCACCGGTGGCTGAAACCCAGATTTGAGCTCAGGATCTCAGCAAATGCCAGATTAATGCTCCGTCCCCTGAACCAACCTGACCAGTTTTACGGAGTGGCCCAAAAGTCAGGTCACATAGGGCTATTTAATTTATTTTTAACACCGGCATAAAAATATTAATTATCTATTTATTGATTATTTATTCGTCACTAGTATTATCATTTTTAATATCTTCCATAATAGAGGTTTTTTGGGTTAGATTGTGTAAATATATAAATGTGTCATTAAAACCCGCCACCACCCGACACAGCCAACTAGTAAGGTTTGTCACGTAAACAGAACGTGGCCAATTCGTTACTAGTACAGCACATCGGTGTGTTGGAGATTCAAGCCACAACCGAGAAATATTAAATTCTCCCATATACAACTGTCAGCACGTAAACAGAACATGCCAATTGGAATGTCCTGTTTACGTGACAACCCTTACTAGTTGGCTGTGTCGGGTGGTGGCGGGTTTAACGGCACATTTATATATTTACACGATCTAATACAAAACAACCTCTATTATGGATGATATTGGTCGCGAAAGCCGACTGTGTGTTAAATTGGATATACAAATTGCATGAACCGGAGAAATTGCTCCGAACACGTACCCCGTGCAGTGTGAGTCACGTGGGTTTTCTGTGTGTAATGGCAAGGTGCAGATTCCCCGCCCCCCCCCCCCCCCATAAACAACAACAATAACAAAGATCCCCGCATGCCCTCAAAATGCTGTTGGGGCAAGTGCAGTTCGTGAGCACCAATGAAGACTAGTGGCGATGTTTACATGTTTACATCGCCACCACACCAGGTACTCATTTGAGGCTGAGTCGACTTAAGGGAGGCCCAGGACCGGTTCAAATAATCGTCACTGGTGTTGGTCGTGAGAGGGAACCGAACTCGGGTCGCCGGGTTCGTAGCGCAGTGCGCTAACCACGACGCCACCGCTCCCCAGAAAGGCCTACAGTATCCTTAGCCTTAACTACAAAACTCACTTCTGTGATGGCTGATTTAAGCATGCATCTCCTTTGATGTCCTTAATTAATTTCAAAGTAAAATACACACATGCATACAAACATACACACATACATACACACATAACAACAACAACCGCCATTCGCCACTAAGTGGCGGTGACGTCACCACGACGCTTGTGCCAGGCTATGTGCACCGTGAGGCCACGTGAAGTGTCGAACGCCCGCTGGCAGGAGGTCACTGGGCAGACCCAGGTGCCACGGGTCGACTGACTGAGATGACTGGCTGATGCACCACCTGTGCCCCCTACTGTGCCAACCTGCTGTGCTTTAGCCACTCGGCGCTCCGCTCGTTGTTGTGAGCGTCGCTCCTCCGCCCTCCGTTGTTGTTGGAGGGCGACTGCCTCCAACTGCCCAGTAGCATCCTTCACGAGCCTCCTCCACAGAGGCCGACCCCGACACCGCTAGCACCAGTCATCGGCAAGTCCACTCAGCTCCACGTCCTCCTGCACCACACCATTCCATCTCCTCTCTAGCCCGTGCCGCGCCCGCCCAGCCCCCCCAATCCGGCCAAACAAAAGCTGTCTCGGCATGCGGTGGCTGGGCATGTGGGCCACATGACCCAGCCATCGCAGCCTTGCCCGCCGGAGGAGCTCACCGATGGGACCCCGCCCAGATCTCCCAAGGATTTGCGAGCTCCTCACACAATCCAGTCCGGCCAAACCCAGGATGGATCGTAGGCAGGCCAGCCCAAATGTTTCCAACCGGCGAAGATGTTCCACTAGGGGGGTCCACGCCTCGCAAGCGTAGAGAAGGGAGGGAATGACCATGGCCGAGAAGACCTGAAGCTTAGTGCAGAGCGACAGACCAGGTAGCTTCCACACAGCGTTACGCAACCGATGAAAAGATATTGCCGCTCGACTGATTCGGAGTGAGACCTCTGCTGTTAAACTGGAGCCAGTCATAAGCACACTGCCCAGGTATGGGAAACTCTCCACTCTCTCCACAACTGCCCCATCACCGATTGGGAGTTGTGGGGGTGGAGTGTCCGATGGTACAAAAATACCCAGGCAGGTGCTTAGTTTTGGTGGGGCTGATGGTAAGGCCCACCTCTTAGTGGCACGCTCCAGTCTCAGCAGCAGCGTCTCCAACTCCTCCTCTGACTGAGCAGCTATTACCAAATCATCAGCATACATAACGTAGTTGAGCAATATGGAGCCATCCCTTGACCGCACCCGGGCATCGATTAGCCTCCCATTATATCTGTACCATATGGAGATTCCCCCGGTACAGCTATTGAAGGCTTCAAGAACTACGTGGTCAAAATAGATGTTAAATAATGTGGGAGCCAGAGGACATCCCTGTCGCACCCCAAGGTGTACAGGGAATGGCTCTGACTCCCGGCCACGTAGTTTTACCCGGGCCCGCTCACCATCATGAAGGTCTTTAATGATCGTGAGCAGAGGGTCAGGTACTCCAAAAGCACGAAGAACGACCCAGAGCCCAGGCATACTGATGGTATCATAGGCCTTGACCAGGTCAATAAAGCAGAGATGTAGGTCTTGTTGGAATTCCCTACACCTCTGCTGTAGCAGACGGACAGAAAATATGGCATCTGTGCAGGACCGCCCTTTCCTGAAACCGCATTGGGGCTCCGCAAGCCTCACACATACATATACACACACAAACATACATACAAACATACATACACACACACATACGTAGTGGATTTCAGATCATGGAATAAGACACATCCCCATTTTCGTTAGACATCTATGTTGAACTCAATATATATATGCATTTGTTGATACTGTATAATACTATATATTGTATAACATTATTCTGTCTCCACATATAAGTCCTCTTGCCAATAACACTTGTTTAACAAGCCTGGCTGATGAGACCCAAAAAGTCGAAGCCAGTCCAGAGTTTGTTTGCTTAAACCCTTGTTGCTTGATAATATGAGTCTCTGGGAAGCCGATAGAAAACCTGATTAAAATACATGTTGTGTATATATGGAGACACAGAGCAAAGTTCTGCTTACATTTGCTCTTAACAATAATGCTACGTAATGGGTTTATGGATATATTGGTCTATAACATCAATAATTATTCGAGTAATAATTGCAAAGCATTGAAAGCTGAAGGAAACACAAGCAATGTAAGTGGCATTGGCCAAATATCCCAATGCTTACAAATTACCGTGAGATCACATGAGGAGAAATATCGCCTCCACCCCTCCTGCAAAGACCTGGCAGGACCCTCCTGAAAACGAGCCTTGAGACTCTGTGAGGATATCCCTGGTAAAACAGGCGTAGTAATAATAATAATGATGATACTAAAGAATGTCACACTCCCCATGAAGCACTCCAGCGTGAAGGGCTTCGAATTTGCTCGACGGCTCTTTCAATTGTCCAGACGGAGACTTTTTTTCATGTGAACACGCCGTTACGTTTCACATCAAAGCGGAACGCGCGCGCACCCAAAGAAGCGGCGCCGCCCGCCCGCCCGCCTATTTGTCGGCTCTCTCGCTACGCCCGGCAAATTACGGTCTCGCTCTTTACGATCAAAAGCGGGGTTTTTTTTCTCTTTTTTTTGCGCAGGCGGCCGGCAGAAGCGCGCACGCCCCGCGCGACGCACTCGCACCTGCACGGCGATGAGCGAAAAGGTGATGACGAGTTGCGACGCGGGGCTGATGAGGCGCGGCGCCGTCACCGACCGCTTGCCCTGCTCGAAGATGCGGTAGATGCGGTTGGTCTTGGTGAGCAGCGCCGCGTAGCTGACGCACATGCCCAGGCCGAGGAAGATGCGGCGGAAGGAGCAGACGGCGAGGCTGGGCTCGGCGATCATGAGGAAGGTGGTGGCGTAGCACAGGAAGATGCCCGTGAGCAGCACGTAGCTGAGCTCTCGGCCCGAGGCGCGCACGATGGGCGTGTCGTTGTAGCGCACGAAGGTGACGATCACGAACGCCGTGGTGAGGAGGCCCAGGATGGCGAGGAAGACCGGCACGACGGCGAAGGGCGAGTGCCACTCGAGCTTGACGATGGGGATGGCGTCGCAGCCCGTGCGGTTGACGTTGGGGCGCATGTTGTAGGGGCACAGGTGGCAGTTGAACTCGTCGAGCTGGAAGTAGTAGCCCTCGCAGCGCTCGCAGTTCCAGCAGCACGGCACTCCCTTCACCTTCTTCTTACGCTCGCCGGACGCGCACGGCATGCTGCAGATAGAGTAAGGGAGCTCCCGCCTCCCGGCGGTCCACTGCAGCGCGCTGATCTAAAAGCACGGGAGGGGCAGCGGCCGCGGGCATGGGCCTGTGAGGTTCCGCGCGTCCACGCCGGGACGAGCAACGTGACGGCCGACGCGGAGATGGAGCGATGGAAATGAGCTCGCGTTGGTCCGCGAGGGTACGTAAGCGCCGCACGTTAAAGCCGGGTGAGTTAACGTGACGACCGCTGTGTGGTAAAGTTACGGTTAGGCTAATGAAGTGAAAGAAACTGGGCAAAACGAGTCAGAAAACAACGTTAGAAGCAACAGAAATGGGATGGGTTAAAAGCCGGCAAAGCAGAACACATTCCTCAATTGAATCATGACTTAAAATAGCTTCAATCAATGGAATTAAGGCGAGGCTGTAATGCCCGTATTTACACTGCATGCGGATGCTCGTATAATGACAAACAGCATTGGCCTCATGTTGTTTGGCAAACACACCACGTGCCGAATTAAAATGAAAAAACAATTACCCACATTCTGCAAAACCCATCAATCTCTGTCTTTCTTCCATTCATCCGTGCACGTCTGAACAAATTAAATTTGATTTAAAGTTTCCGTGACAGCAGGAATTCATTCTCTTTGGGTCTTTCGGTCAAGTCACGTAAATGAAAAATAATAGATCACGACGTTTCGATCGCAACACAAGCAATCGTCTTCAGGTGAGAGAGAGAAAGATGCTGAGACAAGGTCTTATATAGGCCTGAGATTGGGTGCATCAAGGTAGGTGGGTGGCACTAGAGATGGTCCAACCACAAGGACTGGCGCAGTGGACACCCCGCCTGTCAATACAAAGATATCCAACCTTGCAATGCAACTCAGAGAGTCAGTTAACATAGGTAGAAAGGATGGAAACATCTCAGCAGCTTTCTCTCTCTCTCACCTGACGACGATTGCTTGTGTTGCGATCGAAACGTCGTGATCTATTATGTTTCATTTACGTGATTTGACCGAAAGACTTAAGCGTATGAAAAAATTCAGTTACCTCAGTCCATCAAAATATCATCTTGCTATTCCATGCAGGGTATTTACTTGTGTTTGCAAATGTTTGCACAAATGAAGGGTTGCACTTTCGAGGAACAAGATGTTAAAAGAACTGCAGAGGTCTGACATTGGCATTTCTTTCTCTATTTCTCTCTCGTCATAAAAAGAAATATCGCCTTTTAATTTAACCAATATACAATTACTGAAAGCAGAAGGGGTTGGTCGTGGGGGCAGGAGGAGGAAGGGTGAAATCACATTTCTTATCCGTAACATTTCTCACAGATATATTTAAAGGTGAACCAAATGGCAAAGGCAAACAACAACAACAACAAAACATGAGCACGGGGAAGCGGAAGCCTTTATGAATTTTGCCAAAGCCTCACATTTAGCTGCAGGTGGTTGACCCACTCTCCGATCACGTTGTAGCCCGGCGTGCTGGTGTTGTGCAAGTGATATTGGAAAATGTCATAGCGTCCTGGTGCATCGCCATCCTTATTGAACATCACGGGGGTCCCAGCGCTGCCTGCGGTGGGTGGGGGAGGGGGGAGGCGAGAGGGAGATTGCGGGAGCGTCGACGATTTCAAGCCGTCGGTTGAGGGACGGGGATGGCGAACCGCGGTGATTGACCGCGCCGGGAAATTTATTTTATTTTTTTATTTGACGTCGTTGTTCAAGCAAAACAAAACAAAAAAAACACGCAAAAACAAAAACACATTTGAAAGGAAATAATAATAATTCGTCCCCGGGAGGCATTTGAGATATTATTTACGGGACGGTTTTAAATTGGGGCGTAAATAAGCAACGCCGAGGCGTGAGATGTGAACAAGTGGCGGAGCAAAGCAGCCTCGTAGCAGAGCGACGATAAAACTTCACGGCAGTAGTTGCCTCGTTTAATAAAACGTGAGTTGTGATTTTTTTTGTTCTTTCGTCTTTGTTTATTTTGGGTCTGCCCAAGCGTGTGCGGTCTCAGGCTCGGTGCATTTGCTAAGAGTTCGGCTGCAATTTGCGAATGGAAATTGGGCAGGGTCTCATTTTCGTCAGATCTCTCTTATTATCCTCTGTTTCAACCAAAGTGGTACTCATTGAGATATTGCACCTCTCTCTCACAAAGTGGGACATGGGGATAAATAAGGTTAATCACAGTTGTCATGTCATAGGAATAACATCGATGTGTGTGTGTATGTATAGGCAGCAACCAATTAAAACTAAACAGTGCCAAGTAATCCATCACAGGATTGCAAATTGCATAATATAACATTTGTAAAAAACATTCAATTCAAAGTTAAATTGTGTCCCCACTAAAATTAGCAATGGGCAAGGACTTAACTCAATTTGGTGGCCCTAAGCCATTGGGTGGAAATTCCACGTTCCCAGCCAGTCTCTCCATAGGACGAGCACTGGGGACTCCCCACACAGTGGCACTTCTTTTATTGACCACCTAAGGGATGGCGATAGTGATGGTGACGATAGGTTACGTTCACCCTCGACTGACATTTGAACTTGCGATTTTTCACTTGCGAACCCACTGCGCTGTCACAGCTCATCCCGCAGCCGAATATTAGACACACAGGCCACGCAGTTCGTGTCCGGCGGGGTAAAGTGTGGGTTCTCCCACCTCTTACAATACATCAGACCAGCGTGGAAGAGTTGACCAACAATACTCCATTGAGGTGCTCCCTAGAGCCCCCTCTAGTGGGGAAGATCCTTCTGCCACCAGTCGCTTGAACAAGTGATTGCAGGGCTGTGTCGGGTGGTGGAGGGTTACGGCACATTTAGAATTCCGCGATCTAACCCAAAAACTTTTATTATAATAATAGGTTTTTTACCCCTTTTTTCTGGCAACAAAACTGACACCTTTTCACGATAAATTTCAAGGACAATGCATACATTATCAGAGTTATTTTTTGTTTGCATTCTGACCGCAGGTATTGTGGTTAATGCAAACATGATTCCTCGTAAAAAGGTGTCAGTTTTGTTGCCAAAAAAAGGGTAAAAAACCTATTATTATATTTTTCTACTAGCAAAGGAGGCCTCATGATGTTAACCTTTATTATGAATACTATTGGCCGCGAAAGCCTACGCGTTAAACAGGCAGGGCTGCACCTCTACCGTTCACCCCAGTTAACTCAACACACCTTTCGAGGAACTGGCCCGAAACACCGTAATGCAAGACCATTAAAGGAAACAACTGTGGCACTCGGGAGAGGCTTTTATTGGCAAATCGCCGCGATTACTGTCATTACGAGAGGCGAGCTCCACCACGGCTCACAGCACGTGAGCAGGGCTCTGACCGTTGAAGCTGACGCTGCGGATCTCCTCCAGCAGATCCTTGGTGGGCACGGGTTCCATGTCGACGCAGAGACCCGAGAGGCGCGGGCACCGCTTCTGGTAGAGGTTGTGCAACGCGTGCGCCATGGCGTAGACCGCGTCGATCACGAACTGCACCTTGCCCTCCTGCTCGTACTGAGAGTCCCGTCCCACACGCTCCTGGCCTGCAGCAAACAAACAAACAAAAAAAACCCAGCACGGTGGGCTCCCCGATCAGCACGGTTGGCTTACGTGCGGTGCGAAGGAATTTCAACGTACGTACATGCAAACAGACACGTGTACAAAGGTAAAGGCACGGCCCTGAAATTCCCTGGCTCATGCCGCTGCCGGTGGAAAGGCTTCTCCATGAGAGTAACCCCCCCCCCTCTATTTGGGGGTCATTTGGCCTAATATTCCACGTGTGCCAAGATGTCTTGGAAGGGGTGGGGAGTTACCCACACTTTAGCTCGACCACACGCCACCTGCCGATGTACTGTGGTGTCCCTGCTTATGCCGCTGGATGGACAGAGATCGGGGTAGTGGTGGTGGTGGCGGTGGTGGAGGGTTAAAACAACTTGCACCGTCCTCGCTTCCACCGCTGTGCCGGGGAAAACGAATCGAACCGGCGAACTCTGGAGCGCAAGTCCAGCGTACTGCTGACCATTATACAGCAGTAGCAGCAGCAGCAGATCCAAGCACAAACGCTCCCACGGTTTGCCGCACCTCGGTACTTATACATGTTGAACTTATTTCCCACCGTCCGTAGCCAACTGTGCTATATGCAGTGACACAATACAATTTGGATTCGTATAGTCTGTAAACGTTCATCCCAAGATGTCGAGAAGCACATTGATATATTTATTTTGTAGAGACAGGCAGTCACAGGTATATGTGTGAGCCTATGGGTCTCGAATGTGTGTTTCCGGGTCCCTATGTAAGTCTATGCAAGACAATACGTGGCATCTAAATGTGACCACATCACAAGATGCTGTAGAGAAACAGTGGCCAGGTTTACGATGTATAAATACGTTCATAGGTCAGTATGTGAATCTATTGGTGTCAATGTGAGTTCATTGCACTGATGATTCTATTGCATGGGCTAGGGAAGAGATGGACTGATGTGGTATACGGTAAGATGTGGAGTTGATTGGAATTTACAATGACCTGTACCAGCGGTGTCAAGATCGGCCTCTGTGGAGGAAGTTCGTGAAGGACGCTGCTGCTGGGGAGTTGGAAGCAAATCGCCCTCCAGCAGCAACTGAGGGCAGAGGAGCGACGCTCACAACTACGGGCAGAGTGCTGGGCGGATAAAACGCAGAGAGTTGGCACAGTGGGGAGCACAGTTGGTGCATCTGCCCGCCATCTCAGCCAGTCAACCCACGGGCACCTGGTTCTGTCCCGTGATCTCCTGCCAGCGAGCCTTCGACACTTCACGTTGCCTCAAAGTGCACTGCGCCTGGCACAGGCGCCGTAGTCATGTCACTGCCTCTCAGTGGTGAACGGCGGTTGTTGTTATTGCACTTCTACACAATGTGAGCCTGCGGCTCTATGCGAGTATACATTGCAATGCGACGCAATGGGGACTTACATGTGACCGCATCTCGAGGCTCTGTACAAAAACAGTTGGCATATTTACATCGTACAGAGGCGTCAAGTCACGGAAGATTGCCCTTGCTGTCTTTGAGATCATATTCATTGAACTGGGTCCCTGCCTGCCAGTCCTCATCTCACTGGAGCCCCATGTGCGTGCTCTCCACTCCAGCAACCGCGCACTTCTGCCAAAGAGCTCGGCAACCTTCGATCAGTAGCGCGCGTGGGTGGTGAACGCGCGTGGCTGTCGGTAGTGCATGTGTGGGTGATGGTGTGGGTGGGGACGACTATCTGAACCCGTCCTGGGCCGAACCGAGGTCGACTCATCCTCGAATGAGTACCTCGCGCGACGTGTAAACATCGCCACTAGGGGACAAAGGTGGTCGGGCGTGGTGTTGTTAGCCACCCGCTCACGTGCCGTTCCGGCCTTTTGCACCTCTGAATTAGCACGGTTGGCTACGTACGGTGCAAACGAAGTTCTCCAAGTTCTGCACGGTCAGTCCCCTTCCTCTCGCCATCTGCACCGCTGAGACGCTTCCTTTTCACAAGTTCACACGCAAGACTTTCCTCTTCTCGTCTGTACACGACTGAGCAGTGCCCCCCTACGAGGCGCCTCTACCTACGCCTTGCGAAGCGTGTGAGTTTTTATTCGCGCGCGCGGCGCTCGGCGGAGCAAGCGGTGCATGAGCAATCGACGGTCATGGCAGACGTTCTGTCTCTGCTTTGGCTGTGTCAGCACAGATAGTCTCATTCTTCTTTTACAAACGGTAGTCCCCAGTCAGGGCCAGAACGCGCTCTAATTACCTGTAGCAAAGGCAGATTATTGTAAAAAAAATTATGCTTTTGTGCAGCTTGGAAGTGTTAATTGACTGTTTGATGTGTGACCTCTGGAGTGGGAGGTATGGAAAGCTTTGTAAAGTGTTTTGTTGTAACACCACATGACTCGCTGAGAAACTCAGTATGTATTCACGTTTCTTCCGCCACTATTAATGATCTTGACGTGAGGCTGGCACGTAGCATATTGTGCCGGCATTAACTTTTTTTTTAATTGGTATTGTTTTGCAGATGTGGACAGGTGGCTCAGAGGTCAGAGTTCTGGGCCAGCGTGACTGAGAGCCTGGGTTTAAATCTGGGTTTCAGCCACCCCTGTTGTGAGCTGATGTGAACAGGCTCGTCAACGATTAGTGCACAAAAGCCATCATATTAATTAAGTTTAGTTTGCCTTTTTTTCAAAACGTTATTTTTCAATATATAATATATAACTTAATTTTTATTCCCATGCAATGAATATCTTTAACAGGTCAGTTTACGGGATCCCCGAATTAGTTCCGTGCCATCTCCTTCCATGGGCCATTCAACAGTAGAGGTGGTGCACTGCTCTGCAGGATTTACGAATGGACACATAATGGCATGTCATCGATAGCACAACTGGAAAATAACTGTGGGAGAAGACCACACAGTTAAATATATTTAAAAAAAACATTATTTAGATGTAAAAAAACATTGCTCATGTTCAATAAATTATACACTCACTACTTCTGAATCAACAGAATTGTCTGCAGCACATTTTACTCACTTCATGCTAATCCTTAAATTATTCTGCACAACATGCTAACTGTTAAGGGACCATTAAAGACGTATTAACAAATGATTAATTATGTTGAGTGCAAACGTGTAATCCTGTAGATTTTTGCCTCGTCTCAATTTTCAGTGTTTCTCAACTCTTTATCCTGGACGGACCGTCGTTTTGTGCTGAGAATGTTTCCGCCTAACCAGTGCGAGTTCAGGTTCTATTGTGCTTTAAAGAATTAAAAATCCGTTTTTTGTTGTTGTAGCATAATCGTCAAGTATACAATAGTTACAACGTCAAAATGGAAAGCTCCTCTGTACGCTGAACAATCACTCTCCGTTGCTAGATGAAAGTCTCCCTCACACCATGTTGATCGTGTGGGTGATTTGAACCACTGGGTTTTCCACCACTCTACCCCATGAAACAAATACTGCGTATCAATAAGTTAATCAAAATGAAAGCACAATAATATAATTAATATATATTATACTGGGTGGCCCAAAAGTCAGGACACATCGGGTTATTAAATTTATTTGAACAAATAAAATGTGATTATATAATTTATTTAATTTATTTTAAGCAATGCATGAAAGCATTCTTTTTTTAATGAAGAAGACACGCCAACTTACAGTGGCTTACTGCAGCACAGCATAGTTATGACAAGGCTCGATTATTGCAACTCACTACTCTACGGGACGTCTGGGATTTTTTTTTTACCAAGCTGCAGTGTACACAAAATGCTTTGGCACGTGTCGTGACGAGTACCGCAAATGCGTACCAAGCTGCATTGGCTTCCGGTTGCCGAACTAATAGATGATAAGGTCACACTCATTACACACAAAGTGCTTGCGGCAAATGAACCACAATTCCGATGCCGATCTCGTCAAGCAACATAAACCATCACGAAAACTCTGGTCATCCTCGCAGCGGCTTTTGCTAGCCATCGAATAATCACGGTCACTGCATCGCCTGCTTCCAGATGCGCTTCTGCGGCCATCTGGAACGCTCTTCCTTCCGATATTGGGAAGCCACCAGGAGCTATGCACTTAAAAATAATCTAGTTTCTAAACTCATTTCTTTCGAACTGTTTTTGGTGTTCAGGTTGTTGTCCGTCCAACTGCGCCTCCGATTATCGCGGATGACTACGTACGGTGTTCGACGTACGTCCAATGCACGCGCGAACCGCGGGAGTCGTAAGCGGAGGCAAAGTTTGACGTGCGCCCTCTTCGGAGAGAGCTTCTGCGCCCGCCTGCCCTCTGAGCATAATGAGTGCTCGTTAAAAATTCACAGCGGAGCAAGGCGGCGGCGCGTCACCACGTGCGAGCCGAGTGGCGCGTTATACCCCACACCCACCAACCGCCCCACGAAACTCCTCGCGCGACTGAAAAAACGAGATCGTAATTCTCACGAATCGAGCAGTCCCCGCAGGATCGCTAAGGAGCGGCCTGTCGTTTCGGCAGCGTCGCGGAGACGTGCACCGTTAAGATTAGCCGCCCGAGTCGGCAGTAAATAAATGGATAAATAAACGGGCGAGCGGAGTGAATGCGTAAATAAATAAAGGCGCTGCATTAATAGAGAAATTTCTCGCCTATCCGGTGCGGGGAAATTAAGCAGATAAAACACTCGTGGCGGAGACGATGTGGCGTGCAACTATCCCTGTCCGGTGCTCCCGCTCCCAACATAAGCAAAATTTAAAATTTGACGGCAGGACCTGGCTGATGGATATGGCAGCAGTGGCATAACCATCAAGTGTGCAGGCGCTGCAATTGCACCAGGATGCTCTGCCCCAAGGGATCCAGGTGCCAGGCTACAAAGAGGGTGCACATTGGACAGGGGAGGGCCCTATTTTCATTTCTTGCACCAGGCCCCATGCCAAACACGCTACATCACTGAGATCCATAAACTTACATAACGACCTGTTGACTCGCATAAGAGACCCATAGACTGGCATAGGACCCAAAGACTAACGCAAACCCATAGACTTTCGTATACGCCCAAAGACTAACACAGAACGCATCATCTTCG